GATCCAGTCCATCTTGCAGCATTAAAATAGCAGAACACCAAGTATTTTCAACACAGTGAATCATTCAGTCCACTTGCACACCGAGTCCAACTAAAACTAGACTCTGTGTGTCACATCAGACCATAAAATTACACATTTTTATCAATCTTTTTTTGGTAAACGGTTCTGTGAAACTGCATACCTTCTGCATTGTTCACTACAGTGTGAGTTTTAAATGCTATCACGGGGTTAAACTATTTATTTTGTTACATTCCCTCAGACTGCGGGGGAGTGAAGCCCTTTGCCAGGAAATATGAATTAAAACTGGCCCATCGGGCATAAAAAAGTAGTGTAAAGAGCTTTTCATGAGTTTCTAATGTACGTGATGGCTTTGATAGGCCGCAGACTTATTTTCACAAATGAATGTGTTATGTATTAAGGTGCATTATAAATCACTTTACCTCACTTTCTGCTCCATTCTGTTCTCGGTCTTTCTGAGAGGTCTGGAAGAGCAACATGATTGCTTACAGCTCTGGGCCTCTTCGTCAGTAACCTTGCCTAAATCAACAGCCGACCTGCTGTTTTAGTGCATAAGAAATGTTTAAGATTATAATGGGGCCATAAGACGGAAACCTGCTATATAATGTGAGTGACAGCTGAGGCTTGCATGGGCTCAGATAGCGGTGCTGTAATGCTGTGTGTCTGGGACGTGTGACAATATTTCAGTACGCGTGTGAGTGTGTGTGGTTGTCTGTTAATCAGACAGTTATGACTTAAATGTAATTGCGGTTTTCAACATTTGGTTCCATAGAATCAGTGGAACATGGGCAAACATGTTAAAAAAGGAAAAGATGGTCTCCATGATGAGGTCTGTCCATAACAAAGATTTTCCTCTCCACTTAAAAAAAAAAAAGCTGGAGGAAATAATTTTTTCCAGCCTTAAACTCCAACTAATTGCTTAAACATTTTCTCCACAGGTCCATATGTGGATTTGTGTCACGCGACAGGCTTTTGGCACTCCTTAAGAATTTCCTACTCACCTTATTCAGAGGTGTTGCTTAATAACATTCAGTGGCTGCCTGTTGTTCCTTTAATTTTAACACTTTTCTGTGGAGTGTTTTTGCAGTGATTTACTATATAAAGCTGCATCTTTTTGTAATGGCACTTAAAAGTAATGAAAAACAGGCTGAAAATCCTAGTTTTGCTGTTAGTATGAAGTTTTCAGCTTGCTGCTGTTCTGGTCATATGGGCAACAGACTTGTGGCTTTAGAAGTTAGTTAATCAATAATTTCCTGAGGAAAGTACTTTAAAAGATAACACACACACACGCTCGCAGAATGATGAAATACTCTATATAAGGCTAAGTCGTTAAAGCTGCGCCACACTCTGCCCAGCTCTTCAGATGTCTGTCGCTATAAAATTACAGTAAATGAGAATACAACAAAACCTACTGATCAAGCAGAAATAATTGAAAATGTGATTTGAGCTGATTGCTAGTATCCACATGCTAACATACTCACAATGACATTGCTAACATGCTAAATGTCAGTAGGTGTGATATTTCCCATGATTCTTAGTTTGGAATGTTACCATGGTAAGATATGCTAACATATATATAAGATATGTATAAGAAATACACACAGCTTGAACTGACATGCTGCAGCAATGAACTGCAATGCATTGATGACTGGGGAACGGAGATGCACGCTAACACAAACCATAATTATCTATTTGTGGTTCTACTTTGAGCAAACATGAACATAATACAAAAGCACACATGATGTTTGGAGTTCCAGTAAATTCCACAACCACAGTTTAGTCTCCAGGGGATATTGGGTTTCTCCTAGCTGAACTTCTTCCCTTTCTTTCCTGAATGACACATAGGCGCATACACTCACGTACACACTAAATGTAACACTAGCTTACTCCAGACCACACCGTCACTGAGAGAGCTCACCTCGCCTGCCTGCTGTGAGCCTGGCCGGTGTCTTTTATCCTAGACACTGCTTCAGGCTTAACGCTACCTGTTTCCAAAGCCGTGCGCCCGCTGACCCCAGAGTGCAGAGAGCACTCCTGTAAATGGTTTTACAAGGCTATGTGGTGTGTTTAAGATGTGAAATGTACACGCTTGCTTGTTTTGTGACAGAAAACCTACTGTGTGTGTGAGTGTGTGTTTGCACTGTGCTGAATTTGTCTTTAAGTGATCATCTGCATCTGTGCATAACTATACAAATATATATAAAAAACATGTATAACATCAGTTCTGTACCGCATTAGGTTTTGTATGATGTACTTCTCGGCCTAAAGTTTATTTACAGGTCTGCCTCAAGTGATGTCACTAGAGTCAGCTGAAGACTCCAAGACTGATCATGAAAAACAAAAACAAAAACAGGGGGGCGTGACATTAGAAAAAAGTGATCATACTAGACCTCTGCAACCTGTTCCTCATCTTTGCTCGAGGCCAAATTAGCCACTGCTAGCCAAACAGACCAGAATCTATACAGTCAAGTGAAACAAGTTGCATTGTGGGTAAGCAGGTTTTCACAAGGAAGAAAAACAGCTTCTACATTTCCTAATATTCTTTTTTAAAACTGTCCATTGAGAGTCCTTCAATGTTATAGGACTGCAACACTAAACCGGAGGGTGCTCTTTTAATGGGCTGTAAATGCTTTTATGACTTGGCTTTAAGTTTACTTGCTTTACGACATCAGCAATACAGACGAGCAAAATGCAAAGTGCTACATGAGCACTTTATCTACCAGTGTTAGCTCACAAATGTTGTAAAACAAGCCCCTTTCTAAGCTATACTTTGTAAAAACTGTTATACTAAAAAGGCTCAATGGCACAAGGACTTGTTCATTCACTGACTTCAGGAGAAATCAAGATGATTGTCAGTTGCTGTAAAGTTGTTTTTCTCTGAATATTTTTGTGTTGGTTTTAATGGGGGCTGCCACTGATGGTTATTTTCTCAATCAATGGATTAATAGTTTCTCTTATTTGATCTTTCTTTCTTACTTTGGTATATATTGCAAATCCTGATGCCTTAAGATGGACTATAATGTGTACTAACAAATAGCATAAGTTTTGATTCAACTTTTGCTCTTAATTAAACTGACAGCTGTTTACCTAGATTTGTTGGAGATGTTCTACATAATCTCATCTAACTGTAGCCGCCATCTATTTTTCCATTTTGCATTTGCTAACTCTTATAATGTTGGACTACCACTGCGTCTAAGGTCTGTATTTTATGCTTGTGTTGACAGCCCTGAGAGTTTAATGCAACTTAATGTGGGGACATCTTTCTTTCTTTGATGGGGAGTGTGCACCTCATTAATTACTGGTGTACTGATAAACAACAGAAAAAAAACCCCTCCTAGGCTGTAACATTTCCTCAAATAGAAATGAATGTCACCATTCTCTGTCTTCAATTACAGAGTGTGTCACGGAGAGGATCTTTGGACCTCTCTCTAGTTCTTCTTTCTGGCTTACTTGTTATATTCTGTTTCTATTTTCCACATTTGACATAGTTCAAATGAGGCGCCTACTCATTTTACCTCCCATCCCGCCCCTTCCCGAATGCTTTCTTTTTCTCTAACCCTCGGTCTATCAACCCTTGTTCCCATGGCAATTAGTTAGCAACCATGGCCATTTATCAACTGCTCCTGAACACATGCCTAACAAATGGCTCAGAGCGACAATGTGCCACCACTCTCCACAACCTTCTCAATAGCTGAGAGAGATTTGTGTGATGGGTTAATAGTAGGATAGTAAAAGTGCTGCTGGGGCAACACTGTTGAGTTCATGTAGGTTTATAGTGTGCTGTGACCCCTCTGAAACTGTTACAGTGATGGGTGTCTAGCTACATATTCAGAAAAAGGACTAGACAACACAAAACGCTAAAAGCCCGGTACAGACTTAAGCCTGTCTGCAGAAAAGACAGACATAAGGAGAAAGTGTATCTCTGACATGAAGTGTTTCTGTGAGTCAAAACCTGATTCATGGCAAGTTGAGACTAAAAAGCTGAGAACCATGCTGCACAACCTGTTGCATACTTCGCCAGGCAAAGTAACAGAGATCGAGTGTCTTTCTATTCTGTGTGTAGGTGACGCGCCCCCTAAAGAATGTGGTTCTCTTCCTCTTGCCTTTTGCTTCAATTTCCCCTCTGGTCGCTTACTTCACTCGCACGGCCGAGAAGCTGTCGCTTGAGGAATCTGGAAAACACCAGCAGGGAATGACAGGAATTTCTTCTTTTCATTTTTCTTTAACCACCCCCTCACCCCTTGCTCTCTTTATTTTGGATGCCTCTGCACAACCAGGCTCTTGAGTTTTCTCTTGTTTCTGAATGTAACCCAACAATAACAACTTCTCATAAACAGTGGGGCTTGTTGACTGGGGGGAGGTTGAGAAAGAGAGTGGCTGTAGCTGGCCTGCGCAGCCAGTTTTGCTGGAAGTGGGCCTCACGAATGATCCCAAAGTACAGGCTACATTGAGGACAGTGAAAGATTTAAGGATAACTTTAAAAATGAACCATCTCTGAAGGGCCATAAACACATGCTGTAGTTCTGTCTTTCCCCCAAAAGGACTTTGATGAACCAAGCTCTGAATGGGGATGCTGGTCAATGTCAGGAAACCACAAAAATATAGGGAGGAAAATGGTAGTTTCAGAATTCTCTTCTTCCACAGCACCCGTGGACTCATAAAGGGAGTCTGGATCACACTGAGTAGGATTTTAAATAAGGCGATCATGGCACTCTGCCCTGTCCTTTCAGCCTATGGGCAAAACACAGCTAGTCACATGCCATTTAAACAGCCACACAACAGTTAAACCCTCTGTCCGTGACAGCGAGAATAATACAGAGTGATGTGTCCTGGAATAACTCTGTCTCCACTGTTTCCATTTTGGAAGATGATCCCACACATTACTGGACATTGTCCCTCATCTGCTGAGCTGTTTTCATGACTCACACATCAACTAAATCAAATGTCAAAAGAGAATGTTGTAAAAGGATAAACGGGTAAACAAAGCACTGCATTTTATTATGCTTTCCAACAAGCTCCATGCCAGGGTATTGCTTTTGAAAATACAAAGGTTTTTCCAAGAATTCTAAGATGCACAAACAAAAGCATTACACAGTTTAGTGCTGTTTCTATTAACAGATAGGCTTTGGGTGTCCCCTTGTGGACAAATGACGGGCAGTATCTGACATCATCTTAAATTTTGACACATTATTTCCATAACTAATAATAAAAATACTGTTAAAACTCTTAATACATGTAAACAATTTAATGTTTTTATACTATTTTTGCCTTATTTATTTTATGTAACTATTTAGTTTTCAGGTTTTTTTTTATATGACCCCCAGTGCTTTTGTTCATTGTAGTTTGTTTTTATAATTGTTCATTTGGTATAAAGGTTATGTACACTACTTTGTTGAAATAAAATTGTTTAAAGTAAATATGTAAATAAAAATAAACTAGAAACAACATCCCTTCTCTCAGATGCACATCATACTTAGCTGCTAACTTTTAATGTCTCAACACAAGTAATGGCTAATAGAGAAAAATGACATGGAAAAGGCTTAAAAGAAATGTCTAGGTTTTTAGAGTTTTACATTTTATTTATAAGCTGTGGATTCACTCAACAACCAAAGTAAACAACATTCACTCACTCACATGCCAAGCACTCATCCAAAAAGTGTTCTCCAGTTGCACGGGCACCGTTGGGGGGGGGTAAGTTAGGACGATTCTAAGGGCCCACGAACTTTGGGGGCCCACAGATGGGTCAGGTAGAGGGCCCAACTTCAAATGGTTTCATAGGGCCCAAAACTGCTAGCGGCGCCCCTGTCCAGTTGTACTCTTCATCAGGATCAATGTCTTGAATTGGTGAAGGTCGGCTGTCACTGGTCATCATTTCTCTCCAGGCTTGAATGGATCAGACCATATCTTCAGCCCTTAAGACAAAAAAGGCAGTGAATTCCACACAAAAAGTGGCCACTGTTCTCGACTCACCTATTTAAACAGTGTGAAGAGTTCAAATGGTTTACAATGCTTAAAGTACTGCTTGAGTGTGGTTTGATATATAGGACCGTGCAATGGGTTCCTACAAGCTTAAATTCAGTGTATTTTGTTGGCTGATTTTGCAGATGATGACTATCAGAACAGGCCTGACACTGAAAACACTGTGCATCACATCTAGCAGTTCTTACCCACAGGTTGAACATCTGCCTGGTTGATTCCTGCCCGGTTAACCTTCTGGACTTCTCCTACCAAAGAAAGAAGAGTGCATCATTGTGTGCAAGGTTATTAGAGTCAAACTCGTTTCCTGTCGTGGTATCTTAGTTGGTTTAGCCATACAACTCTTGTTGTGTTCATATAACTTGCTGGACATGAAGCCACTTGTGTACCTGTGTTATTTACTCACTTACTTACCTAACAGCTACTGTTTTGGTTTGCTCACAGCCACGTAACGTTAGCTAACCTATGGTATTAGTTATTCTTAAGAGCTTTACTGAATATCTCTGGAGTATAAAATACGCAGTTCACTAACTTAAATAAATAAGAAAAGAGGAGGTGCAATAAAACTATTATCCTACGTAGCTTACTTTATTTTCGTAAAGATAACATTTATCTTGGCAGTACATGGAAACCATTAGGAGAATGCTAACATTTGTACACGAAGCAACACACTAAATTGTAAACTGACTATGTAACTAGCGAGTTTTGAAGGAAAGCTTTAAGCCACTTACTGTACTCGTTTTTATGCGTCAACGGGTGGAAAAATATGGGATAAAACGCGGCGGCCACCACTGCTACAAAGCCTCCAACTACCAAGGCTGTTCTTGTTTTTGTCATTGTTGTTACACCAGCTGATACACTTCCACCTCCAAATGCACACGATGTTTACAATAGTTACTTCCGAGGTAAAGGTCACCTATACTATTAGAGCGCGCTGCAAAAGCGTCGTCAAGCTGGTTTGGTCTGATTGGGCTTCCGTAGTAAATCTGTTACGTCATTCATACGACATAGCACAACAATAACACGGACGTCTGGGTGAAAAATTTAGAACTTCTCTCACGCTTTTACTTTTTTTTATAGGCTAAAAAGATGATATTTTTTGACGTTATTGTGTTTGCTTGTTGTTGCTGTTACTCATACGGAGTGACAGGCGGAAACCAGCCAATTCAGACATTTGTAATTCCTCACAGTCACATGGATGTTGGCTGGGTGTACACTATTCAGGTAGGTTTCTGTGCCTAGATTACTAGTTGTGTTAAACTGAAAAGCATTTTACTGTGCAGATTGCAGCTCGACACCTTCCTTTCACCATGCTACTTTGACTTCGAATGCAGATATGTGTATTTTCTGCATAAATATGAATTGGAGTATCTATTTTCCATAGGAGAGCATGCATGCCTATGCTGCTAATGTGTACACCAGTGTGACTGAGGAGCTGTCAAAGGTTAAAGACCGCAGGTTCATCGCTGTAGAGCAGGAGTTTTTCCGACTATGGTGGGACACTGTTGCCACAGACACCCATAAGAAACAAGTAAGAGCACATGATGGATCAAATACTCTACTGCTAAAAAAAATAAAGGGAACACAACATAAGACATCCTAGATCTGAATGAATGAAATATTCTTATTAAATACCTTGTTCATTACATAGTTGAATGTCTTATTTTCCCTTGTGTTCCCTTTATTTTTTTGAGCAGTGTATTACAACAAATTCTCAGTGAAATCAAAGATAGAAAAGATGAGTATTTTAAGCAAATATTTTCTTCTGAGAATATGTGATACATTTAAAATGGTTTAATTACAAAGTGAATAATTAACATGTAATGGCTTGGTTGGCTTTCTAGGTACGACAGCTCGTAAAAGAAGGAAGACTGGAGTTCATTATTGGGGGCCAAGTGATGCATGACGAGGCTGTAACTGATCTATATGATGAGATATTGCAAATGACAGGTAGGTTAAAACATTTCCTGCTCCTTTAGTCCTCAGTGCCACTGATGAGTTGTGTGGTAACTAAGAACCTACCTACTGTTTCAGAGGGCCATGGCTTCCTCTATGAGACGTTTGGGGTGCGTCCTCAGTTCTCCTGGCATGTGGATCCTTTTGGAGCCTCTGCCACCACACCGGTCCTGTTTGCCCTGGCAGGTTTCAATGCCCACCTCATCTCCCGCATTGACTTTGACCTTAAAGACACCATGCAGAAAAACAAGGTATTAGCTGATGCCTCAGTCTGAATACTACTGTGGCTGGATGTTTCTAAAATACATCAATATATGAAAGACAAACCACATAATATTGGCAACCCAGATAACGTTTCTTTTGAGTTGTTCATATACACTTTAATTAGGAGAATACATTTGCATTGTCATTTAATCTGTATACCTCAACCTGATATGGTTTATCTCTCTTTTTTCCAGAAACTACAGTTTGTTTGGCGAGGTTCTCCCTCCTTGAAATCCCTTCAAGAGATCTTCACTCACACTATGGACCAGTTTAGCTATTGCACTCCCTCCCACCTGCCATTTTCCAATAGGTACTCCATGTTTAAATTCTCTGTTGCTTTATGTAATGTTCAGTATTTCTGTAATGAATCAATGTATTTTAATCCTAGTGTATTTACAATCACTGATATTGTACTAAAATAACTGGTAACAGGCAAGACATCCTTGTGCTGGTTATTAAAATAAATTACAGACTTTCACTACATTCCGGGGCAATATTAAGAGGATTACTAAGTAAGCAAACTGCAGACTGTCAGTAAACACATCCTCTAACTGTTCTCAGCTCTGGTTTCTATTGGAATGGAGTTGCCTTGTTCCCAGACCCACCTAAAGATGGAGTCTACCCAAACATGAGCCTGCCTGTCACCAAGGAGACAGTACATGCCTATGCCCGCACCATGGTGGAGAACATCAAGCAGAGAGCTGCATGGTTTAGAACCAACCATGTGCTCTGGCCATGGGTGAGCAGACAGTGTTGCATTCTGGGTCCCTTTGTTACATAGAGGGCTTAATTTACAAGTTTAGAAGCACTGGAACAAACATCAGGGGTAGCTTTATGAAAAGGATTTTATTTTGAGATACACATTTTCAGGATGCATACATACACAAAGTACATTTATTTAGAAAATATTTATCTTATAATGTGCATTCGATCTTTGCGTTTCAGGGCTGTGACAAACAGTTTTACAACTCATCAGTGCAGTTCAACAATATGGATCCATTAATGAAGTACATTAACCAGAACAGTAAAGAGTTGGGGGTGACAGTCCAGTATGCTACTTTAAGTGAATACTTCCAAGCCATCTACCAATCAAATCTTACATGGGAAGTCCGCGAGAGTGATGATTTTCTGCCATATTCCACTGGTGAGAATCTGTTTCCTAAATCATACTGAATTATAAAGCTCACATTAAAAGGAGGCACTATCAGGTGCAATCTTCGTGTTGATATCATTTTCTGGCTAATGTGTTTTATTGCTTAGAGCCCTACCAGGCATGGACCGGGTTTTATGCCTCCCGAAATGTTTTGAAAGGGGTAGCACGACAGGCCAGTTCCCAGCTGCACTCTGCAGAGACTCTTTTCACCCAGTACCGAATCAGCTTCCCTGATGGGCCTGTAGCTAAAGACTGGGCCATGGACAAACTGAGGGCACTTCGCTGGGCTGTCTCTGAGGTAAACTGTCAAAATAAACTGTCCTTTGTAATAAAAGAACACCTTGAAGTTATCATAAACACTGCCTGATTTGGACACAAAATGTTATTTAGTTTGTGTATTTTAGGTGCAACACCATGATGGCATCACTGGCACTGAATCTCCTAAGGTGGCAGACATGTACTTGCAGCATCTCCTGCAGGCCATGATGGGAGTGGAGGAGCTTCTGGCTGCACTCTTTCTGCTGCCTCACAACCTTGACAGACCTAGCATCCCGAGCAGCCACTACCACAGACAAGGTTTTTTTTTTTCCCCAGCAGGATGATAGCTGTGAATGCTCCTGGTATCCAAATAATTAAATGGTAATTAATCTATTCTTGACAGGTGTTCAACAGGCTCTGGAGCAACATGTTGTTGTTTACAACCCTTTAGCATGGAACATCACCACTATCATCAGCTTAACAGTAACACTGCCAAATGCAGCTGTTTTTGATGAGGAGGGACAGCCACTGCCTGCACAGGTAATAATTATTAACTAGAGATGAGTCATAAAGTCACATACACAGTAAATATCGGTGCAAGTTTGCTAACATTAGCTTCCATAAGCTTCTGGTCATACCAGACCAAGTAAAGCTATCGCAGCTAAAACCTGAGAGCATTTACCGTATTACTAAATTTATAGATTGCAGTGATGGATAATTGAAAATTTCATCAACTGTCTTTTATATAAAACCGATCATTTTAAAGCTGTACAGTAACAAGTATTTACTGTATACATGTTAGTCTTGTGTAAATTAATTTGTTTTGCGTTTCAGAATCAATCTCATAAAATGACATATGTCTCCCTCTCTGTTACAGATCCAGAGGTCAGCACAGTCCGATGTGACCTATGACCTTTTCTTTGTGGTGGAACTTGGGGGTCTTCAGCACAGGAAGTACTTAATTAAGTTCTCTGAGAAGCCTTGTTCTGGGAGCTCTGAGTGTAGCTGGACTTATGAACCTGAAGAGATTTTGTTTGAAAGACGCAATGTCCAAGCCGGGACAAAAACAGGGAGGGGGCTTCTGCCTGTTCTGAATGACTGTTACGAGCTCATGTTTGACCAGGACACAAATCTACTGCACAGCATTACTGATCTGTAAGTGTAAACCTCACATGACTTGTGTTGTATTGAAGTAGCATTTGCTCTATATAACACACTGTAATGTTTTGTGCACATGTTGTTGCTCATGCTTTTCTCTTGTCCTAATATAACTCTCTGACCATTGATTTCTCTTTCATCCTCGATAGCCAGGGAGAAAGGAAAGTAATGATGACTCAGGATTTCTGGGAGTACCATGCAAATGGGGATGTAAAAGCGGGGCCCATCTCTGATAACTACATCTTCAGTGCCAATAGCTCAGCTGTGCGGGCCTACAAGGCCGTGCAAATGGAGATTATTCCTGGGAAGATTGTGTCTGAGATCAGGCAATTCTTCTATAGGTAGATACAAGGAACTTTGTACTTTGGTGCTTTCTTTATCTGAGTTATTCTGCTCCTCATACAGTTTGACACATTCTGTCTTCTAGAGAGGAAGGTGATAAAGACTACACTTACTCAATCATCACCCGTGTCCCAGAATACCCTGGGACCAAAGTGCGGTGTCACAGACTGGAGCAAACCTACTCGCTGGGCCCCCTCCATCTCAACACAGAGGTCATTCTCAGGACCAGCTCCTCCTTGAAGAACAACAGGACCCTGTACACAGATGACAATGGCTACCAGATGATGAAGAGGCCATACAGGAAGTTCACTAACAACACTTTAGCAAGAGTACGTTTACATAAAGTGCTGAGATTTAGACATTTACTAGAATGCGTAGAGTAATCTATATACAACATGCATTTTGCAGAACTACTTCCCCATGGTTCGGACAGCCTACATTGAGGATGACATCAGCAGACTGGTCCTTGTCAGCGACAGAGCTCACGGTGTGTCCAGCCCAGCTGAGGGACAACTAGAGGTAAAACAAAAGTCACACTCACTTAGCATCTGCTCACACAGAGACACGGTAACGTCCTTTGTATTTTTCAGGTCATGCTCCATCGACGTCTTTGGAACAACTTACCCTGGAACCTCGGCTACAACCTCACCCTCAATGACAGCTCAGTAGTCAGGCCTACCCTGTGGATGATGTTGGGTTCCATCAGTGCCACCTCCATGCTTTACCAGCGTGAGGCAATAGAGCTGCAACACAGGCCCGTCATCATGCCTATAGACCAGCACCGTGAGTACTGCAAGACCAAAAAAAAAAACTGCTACAACTAATAGCAAACACAAAAAACATCAAGAGGAGACAAAGTCCATGTTGTATCAAACTAAATTATAATGTTCACAAGTGCAAAATAAAGAACACAAGCAGGTGAGCATCTTGATGACTTCACTACTGTGTAGTTTGTGTCAGTAAACCAGGTTTCCTAAACTTTTATACATGTAGAGGGGCCCTGGCAGGAAAAGGAGCGTAGAAGCAATTCTCCTGTGCGTGCAGTCGTCCTCCCGTCCAACCTCCACCTGCTCAGCCTCAGTATCCCTGGCTGGAACTACAGCGCTAATCATGATGTTCACCTCAGCCAGATACACTCAGGTCAGCACATACTAGGCACATGAAAATCAGTTCCTGAGTAAACAAATGTACTGTAAAACATGTGAAATGTGTTTTTGTCTCTGACATCCATCTAGGTGTGGACCTGCACTCAGAGCCGGACTATGATCGGGTCCTCCTGAGACTCATGCATCTCTTTGAGGAGGGAGAAGACCCTGAGCTTTCGAAGCCAGTCACCATAAACATGAAGGTACTGATAAAAATACAATGTAATCCCAACATGTTAATGTCTTCATATTATTATTATTATTATAGGAGAGAATCCTTAGTTTTTCATAATTTTAGAACTGAATTTACCAGATAGTTTTCTTTTCCTGTGTGCACAGGATGTTCTGCAGGGCATAGGAGAAGTAAAAGTGATGCAGGAGCGTTCTCTCACAGGAACCTGGGATATCACCAGTCTGCAGAGGTGGAAATGGAAGACAGCAGACAACGCAGAAACAAGTAAGGCTTTGTTTATTGTAACCAGAAGAAACGAGGACAACAGAAAGCCTCCTCTCAGGAATTAAAAGTTACACCAGATGTTGCTGTTTAGGAAAGGTGGTTTTTAAAAAACAGATTAATATGTACAGTGGGTGAAACCATATCCTCATTTCTTTACATACTGTTTTTGCATGTGTGTGTGTGTTGTTTTTTTTTTACTTCAGAGAACAAAAGATGGTGGACAAGTAGAGATGAAGCTTTCACTGTAACCATCTCACCCAAAGAGATCAGGACCTTCTTCGTTCACTTCAGCTACAGGAACCATTAGGCTGAGCTGCCTTGTCTTCTGTGAAGATAGTTAATCTTTAATTTGTTCAAACGCCTAACTTCATGCACACATGTCAACATGCCCAGCAATAAAGTTTGTAACAAATTATGGATAAGAAA